TTCATTAAGCATCTGTTGAAGGCCTTAATCATGTTGAAGTTCCTTCAAGTATGCTAAATTGAAGAGAATAGTGTGGTTAGCAGGACAGTGATTGAACAGCAGTATACAAGGATCAACTGATCACACACTACTATAGGATGTGTAATTTAGGGCACGTTTAAACTTATTTAAATGTTTGGATCTGGATTTCTTCTTCTAAATCCAAAATTCTATGAAATTTTAAAATTCTATTTCCAAATGCTCGAGTGAGGGGTTTTCTACTATGTAGAAAGAATGGAATTTTTTTTAAAAGTATGTCTTTATGTCCTCTACCTTCAGTCAGATCAAGTGACTATGCTTCATTATTAATGACTGGAAAAACAAGTGAGGTTTCTTTGCCAATGGAAAACTTACCACTTTCATGAGCAGCTTTCAAGTTTTAAACTGCTATGGTACTTACATAAGAAGCTAATGTCTAAAAGTAATTCACAGCTCATGTAACCAGGTCTATTTTAGGTAGTTACCCTTGAGGGTAATACATGCCAGATAAACTCTAGAAGCAGAATGCAAGCTCTACTCAACATAGTAGACAAATATCCCCACAAATATCTCATTTTTATACAAAAATTGTGCCTGTCATTTTGCTACACAGAGAGTTATGACATTAGTCCTCAACCTTTTTACCAGTACCAACACCTTATTTGCCGCTAAGATTTTAAGTACCATATGATGAGAACCTACAAAGGATAAGGCACAATTCTGGCCGAAGAGGAACTCTTTTCTTCCAATCACTTAGTGTACAACTTGGGCAAGTTATATAACTTTTCCATGCTTCAATTTCCTCATTTGTAAAATAGAATTAACAATAGGAACCACCTGAAAGTTATTGCTAAGATTAAATGTGTTATGTGTAAACCACTTAGAACTGTGCCTAGAAATGCATGTGTTATTATTGCATACTGTTTTATGAAGTATTTTATTGCCTCTACTTATCAAGGCGGAAACTATGAAGCTTTAAAAGGTTAAGTAATTTGCCCAACATTACCAAATTAGCAAGTAACAGAGTTGGATCATACCCCAAGCCTACCTGACCCTGGAAACTGTGCACTTCGCACTACACCATGTTTATCTGCGTTTTGACAAATCTGTCAGTGAAATAGCATTTAAGATTTATTGCCCTTTTCTTTAATTACACTGAACTGAGGTATTGACCATAACTATCACACACAAGCTCTCCAGCATTATTACACTGAGTTGATAGTTTCAAAGAACTATCGAAGAAACTTAGCATTTTGTTTTACTTACTTTTAAAATATTTTTTGAAAAATTAAAAAGAGTTCTCAAAGCCTTATTATTTCTAATGTGTACTCCTAGGGAAGGCTCACAGAGTGAAAGAAAGGTAGGACTGCAAGATGCTGGCAAAAGGCAGAACTAATCATGTATGAGTCCTAAGATGGAGTCTAAGGCCGCCTTTGTGCCCATTCGGATTTGAGGACAAATGACAGTTATGCCACTCTAGGAGTATATCTTTGTTATTTCCCTTCTCATATATCTATTGTGTCTAATTACTTTCTTAGGTAAATTTCCTAGAAATTGGGTCAAACGGTATTTAAATTTTGAAGTTTTCTGATTGGTAATGTTGATTATCTGAAAGATATTGAAGATTCTCTAATTTTTCACTCTTACAAAGTATATATGAGAGCCCATTTTCTATATCTTTGACAATAGCAGATATATTTATCTTTTATATCTAACTATCTTTTTAGTAAAATCACCTTTTAGAAATTAAATATTTGTTGTTTAGCCATAGAACACATAGCAAAGTGCTAGCCAGAACAACAGTAAACAAGACTGAATTTAGTCTTTCTTTCTTCTCAATGTCCAATTTAAAATTCAGTTTATTTTTAAATTTGTTTTAATTAGTTATACTTGATAGTAGAAGGCACCTTGATACATCTTATATAATGGAGTATAATTTCTCATTCTACTGGTTATACATCATGTAGAATCCCACCAGTCATATAGTTTTATATATGCACATAGAGTAATAATGGCTGACTCATTCTACTATCTTTTCTACCCCCATAACCCCTCCTCTCCCTTCACTCCCCTCTACCTAAAGTAACTCTGTTCTTCCCTAGCCCCCTCATTGTGAATTAGCATTTGTATATCAGTAAAATTCAGTTTATTGACAAGTCTATATACTACCTTCTTCTTATCCAACTTAAAAGACTCAAAGATCATTAGATATGAAGAGACCTTTTATATTTTATAGCTAATGCATTCCTTTTATAGCTAATGCAAACATGTCTAATCAGTCACAATTCCTTAAAAGGAATGCCACTGTGGAAATGCAGACATTAAAGTGCACATTCTTAAAAACTCTGGATGACATCCAATTACTTTCACATTATGTTCCATGTTTTAATAAGCAACAGATTTAAAAGCTTTATATCTTACAAATAAACTTTTGCCGATAGTTGCCAGCTTATATTCTACGGTATATAGTCTCATGTAACTACACTGCAAAGTAAAAATTAAGCTAAAAATGGTATTTTCAGTGCCTTTTGATATTTTTATGTTTATTTCCTCTTTGGAAAGTTAAAATATTTTTTCCTTTAGTTTTTACATTTTGCAATGACCTAAATGAAAGCCACTTTTCTAATTTAACTACAATGAATAGCTATTTTTAATTAAAACTATGAGAACTAAAAGTGACTTGAGTATGCAGTAGAAATGAAGATAATATGGCATATATACAGAAAATATCACACTCCATCAAGATTCTTTTAAATCTCATTCTGTACCACAAGGATCCACTTTTTGAGCTATTATGAAAACAGGCTTGAGATACGCTAACATAAGCATGAATTAACATGTCTTTGTAAAATAAGTATTTTACAGCTCCTTTTCTACTTATTTATGTGTTTTTTATGTAAATGATTAAAGGGGGATGAAACAAAGTTTCAAATGTTCCTTAACTTGTATGATAAGAGCTTCCTGACTGCCATTCTCTTTTTGTAGTTAGGAATCTAGTTTGGTTAAGTACTGCTTAATTAAATGCTGTAGAATGTTAACCTGTGCCAACTTATTTCAACTGCAATATGAATACATATTGAAATTACCCTTTTCATAAATCATGGTTTAAATTCACCTATTAGTATTTGGGCATATACAATCTAAAAAGAATACTATTAAATGTTTTGGGGTAAAGGGACAGGGTGATCCACCAAAACTTGTTCCTCTGAGATGAACAGATGCTAATGAGAGAAATGTGTAAACCTACATAAATCAACAAGTTATGTCCTGAATGAGTCAATTACAAGTCAAATGAAATTCATACATGGCTATGTACTCATAAGGTAAAAACCACGTAAAAGAAAATACTAACAAATTACCTTCAATTTGTTCCTAACTTTAGACACAGGAAATATTTACCAACTCCTTAAAATTTATTTCTAAAATACAGAGTTGAAATGTGCTGCAATGACCAAAATATGATACAAAAACAATTGCTCTTAAATTTTTAATCCCAATTCAGCTTGCATTTCTCCTCTTGGACACTATTTTCCAAGAGGCAAGGATTTGGACAATTTCATTCACAGTCCAAGTTGCCAGAAATTTACCAAATACTCTGCTGTGAGGTTGAAAGTCCGAAGTGATCCTTGTAATCATCACATGGGCAACCAATGCCTGAAACACATTCTTTCCTTGAGTCACAAGGCCACAATGTCCTTAAACCATTTGAGATTCGATTTTTCTAATCTCAAAATTAGAAAAGCCCCTCTACCTTCTCTGGTATCAAAGGAGAATGGATAAAATGCCAGCAGTCAAGTTCACAAGGCCACCAGAATTTCTTCATAAGGTTTTTTTTTTAAAGATCTGTGTAGCAAGACAGTCAGTAATCTGCTCTCCGAGAAACAAAACACTATACATTCAAGCTGCTAGTACTTTAGGTGCTTTCTGTTCACATTCAAGATAGTCCTAACTTAGTCCTAACTCTCGCTGGAGTTCCCCTAAAGCCAAATACTAGGAACAGCTTTATCAACCCAGAGCCTGGAACAATCGTACAACTAAGGAGTGCAGGGGCGGGGAGGAAATATTCGTGTCATCTGAATCTTTTTTTTTTTTAACTTGCTTCCCGGGACCTTTATAGAGTTTAACAGGGAATCCAAGATTAGATTTCCCATGATGGTGACACAGGGAGTCGCCGGGAATTTAAAGAAAAAAAAAAAAAACTAATAATTTAAGCTGGTAACAGCTCTGAAGGACGGGAAAATCCAAGAGGCAATTTCCTTTTCTGGGAAGGGAAAAAAGCGAGGTGAGGGGAAGCAGGGCAGAGGAAGTTGGCTTGGGGCTCCCTCCTGGGAGTGGAGCGAGGGCGAGGAGGTGGGGAGGCGCGGGGACGGGAGGCGTCCTGGACCCGTGGGGAGTGAGGGACAGGCGACTGGCGGCCCGGGGGGAGGGTTCCCAGGAGGGGACTGGGGACTAGGGGGGACTGGGGACTAGGGGGGCCTGGAGAGAGGCGTCTGCGACCGGTGGGGAGCAAGGGGACGGGAGATGGGGGAAGAGTCCTCCAAGGGGATGGGGAGCTGGGGGAGAGGGCCCCCTGCCCGTGAGGAGCCAGGGGACAGGGGATTGGGGTTAGGCGTCCCCGATCCGTGAGGAACTAGGGGCGTGGGGGGTTTGAGAGATGCGTCCCCGAGCCGTGTGGAGCAAGGGCCGGGGGCGTCTCCCCGATCTGCGGGAAGTGAGGCCCCGACCGTCAGGAGCGGACATCGGAAACAGACTCACCGCTCGAGCGCTCTGGGCCGTCGAACAGGGCGGACAGGGCTCCAGCCCCGCCTCCCAACTCCGCTCTGCCGAGGTGCAGAGAGAGGACAGATGCAGCGCTCCGAGGCGAGACGGCCCGCAGGCCAATCTCCAGGGCCGAAGGCCGCCGCGTCCGCGGGCCGCCGGGAGCCCCAGCCCCAGTCTCTGACGCCGCTTTCTTCCGCCTTCTCCGCCGGCTAAGGGCTAAGAGAGTCGTGGAGCGCGCGGGTAGACAGAGCGTCGGAGTATCGCGAGCGCGCCCCCTGGCGCCAGTCCTCCACGGCGCGAGCTGCTGCGCAGGCGCGGGGCAACTCCAGCTGTCAATCCGCAGCACTCAGGTTTCGCTTTCCTCCTGCTTGGTTGTGCCTTCTGGAAATTCCTTACACCATATTTCGGAACTGGTGTGTGTGTGTGCGCGCGGTGGTTGTGGTGGTGGTGGTGGTGTAAATTACAATAAGAATCAAGGCGATGAGAAGATCAGTCCCGGAGTAACTGATTTGTTGAGCAGCACTGAAAGCAATATATCCCAAACTATATTTTCATAGCCTTCTGTCAAAGTCCTGCTTGGGGGGAGTTTCCAACTCCCAACTGGGTTAGTTCACTTGGCCTTCGGAAATTATCTGATCCCTCCCCAACTCCACCTTCCTTGCCCAGGTAGTATTCCGGAGAGATAGAGCACTCTATTAATCACATGGCCTTTCCCCTTGATGTAGTCTAAGGGAGTCAACCCAAGCATGGAACTTTTCTTTGAAATTGCTGCCAACTACACTAGCCTGTTCTCTGTCAAGTCATGGGAAAGCTATTTTGAACTCCCTGTTTAACTGGACGCAAACGACTATAGAATGTGACTGAAACGTTCCAAGAGGTACGCAAGAGATTTTCAACCATCACTGTAAATTTGGCTCATCCTTCTTCCACCTCTTAGGGGAGGTATTACAGAGTAGTGGTCATGTGTCCATACCCTGAAACTAGAATGCTTGCTCAAATTCAGTTTCTTTTTCCCTTTATAAACTGATTTTAGATTAAGTAACAATTTGCATTTGCTTCAATTTTCTCATCTCATATTAATCCATTTTGTCCCAAATATGGAATGCATATAAAAGCTTATATAATATAATATATATGTACAACATAATTCTCAATATGTAATATGCCTATAAAATAAGAATACAATTATGATAATATTAATATAATATTTATAAGAGCTAGATTATGATCTCCAGCCTATTTCAATGTCCCTGTGTCAATTTCATTGAAATCTCTGTGGAATTGAAAACTCAGGATTTAATAGGTTATCCTAGGATAATATTAAGGTTGTTGTATGGAATAAGTAAATATATGTCAAAAAATGATTTCAAATTATCTAGGAAATCGTATGTGCTCAATAACTATTAGCAATATTGTATTTCCTGGTTTTTGACTGCCAATATTCATTAGAAATTCATATCTTTTCAAGACAACAGTCTGTGATTATTTCTCAGACTCAATTGCCCCCCTTTTTAAAAGAATGTATTTTGAAATATTTGTTATAAAAAATACAATGAGTTACACAAATTGTGTGTTCATCGCCCAGTTTGAGAAAAGAAACATTTCCAGTAGAATTGCCTGCCCCTGTATATTTGTCTCCAGTAACTTCCCTTATAAAAATAAATCCCTTAAGGGATATAGAAGAGATCATTATATGAAATTGGGACACAGAGAAAAGGAAGAGCAAGGGAGTCAGACTTCCCTCTGCTTTTTAGTGTGAGCTCTAGAGCAAATTAAGTAGCCTTCTGAGCTTCAGTTTCCACAATCATAAAAAGGGTGATTATGTCTACTTTACAGGACTGTCACCAGGATCAACTAAGAAAAATGTATGTGAAACAACTCAGTCTGAGGCTTTCAAAAAGATCAAATGTTTTATGTGTATTTCTTTACACTGTTTTCACAAGTGTCCTTGAGAGGCCTTTTCCTACTTCTACAAATCCTATTTATTTTTCCACTATCTTACATGTAAAGAAGTGTCTTAGGACTCAGGCATGGCCTGGGCAACAGGAAACTTCAGTTCTCTGTCTGCTTGCAATCAGGCAGGGTCATGAGACAAGTTCTTGCTCTATGAGCAGGCAGTGGAATGAATGTTTGTCATTTATAGGTCAAAACATTTGATTTTCATTGCAATACTCTGTTCCTTGTGTTCAACCACAGAAACCATAGGACAGCTATAATAAGGAAGCAGAAGGGCACTAAATTGCTGCATCGAGGGAGATAGCCTTGGAAGGTCAACCAGTCTGCCTTGAACTAATATGATCAGAAACAAATCTGTGTTGCTTTAAGCCTTGGAGATATTTGGGTTTTCTTTTCTGCAGCATAACCCAACTTATTATGCAGAGTTCCTTCTTTAAGTCTTTTCTGATACTAGGAATCAGAATACCAAAATTGTACTTTTGGTTCTGCTTCTTATTAAAATTGGAATCGGGCCAGGTGTCCCCATCTATAAGACTGAAATAAAATCTACCTTGCTTTCTTTTCACAGCTCAAATGAGACCATATGGGAAGATGCTTTGCAAAATAGGAAGTACTGTACGGATGGAAGCAATTGCATATTTTAACCAGGAGAGTTACCTGATATTGGTTTAACAACCACAATGCTCCGGTTTCCTGAAGTGCTGCTAATTTTTAAATATTAGGTTCAAGTGTTCTATGAGTAAATAAAGTAAGTACAAAACATAGCCACAATTTATCATTCCTGGATTTTTCTTTTTCACATTCTATTTGAAAAATGAAACAGGACACACATTAAAAGATTTGTGGGGGTAGGGTTGGGAGGGTGAGAGATTTTTTCCCATTTGGATATGAGATGGCTTTCTAAGAGTTGAATTATAAAATTGACACAGTTCATTAGTTCAAGAGATGTTTATAGAGCAACCATTATATGTGTGTGGTAGCCAGCCTTGAAGATCATATTTATGCCCACTTATAATCCCCCCTCCACAATGAATAGAGCTGATACATTAACCAATAGACTGTTGTGGAAATGTCATAATGTGACTTCCTAGGTTAAGTCGTAGGTTAAGATTGGCTTGTTCTCTCTAAATTATTCACTCTGAGGGTAGCCCTGTGCTGTCCTGAGGATACCCAAATATCCCTTTGGAAAAGGCTCCTGTGATGAGGAACTGAGCCCTCCTGCCAATAGCCAGAGGATTGCTAAAGCCCTATAAGTGTGCCCTTTTGGAAGGCCATCTTTTGGCTCCAATCAAGCCTTCAAATGACTGCAGCAGCTGCTGATATTGTAATTGCTACTTCATGAGACATCCTCAGCTAGAATCACCAGCTAAGCTGCTTCTGAGTTCCTGACCTACAAAAGGTGCGAGGTACTAATTATTTGTTGTCTTATGCTTTTAAATTTTGGATGATTTATTCTTCTGTCACAGGTAATGAATAGATCGTATTGCCACACATCGAATGTGTACAGCCCAGGAGATACAGTGCTGGATAAAATAAACCAGACTTGTTCCTCCTGGGACATGGAGAGACAGAACCTATGATAAACAAATGAGATAATGTCAAATAGTGATAAATGCTGTGGAAAGGTCTGGAAGTTCAGAAATCCTGGGACAAAGTGTGCCTTTTAGAGTATTCAGAGATAGCCTCTTTGGGAAGGAAAGATTTGAACTCAATGATGGTTTCCTCATGCAAACTCCCTTAAGCAGAGTGATCAAGGCAGAGGGAACAGCGATTGTGAAGTCCATAAAGCTGAAATGAGCTTGCTCTGTCGTTCAGGATCTATCAAGTCGGTGCAGCCTAAGTGGAAAGAAGGTGCCATAAATAGGAGACATAAATGCTTTCCAGAAGGGGCCTGTGCCCAGTTAGTCTTGAGGAGGTGGTATCACCCAGGGAGACTGTGGGGTCTGAGAAAAGATACAATCTGTTGTATATATCAAAAGCACTCTTAGAGCCAGAATCTTACCCATGCCAGAAGCAGGAAGAACAAAGATGTCAGTAGGTTAATCTTTGGTAAAATTGCAGACCAAGGAAGAATGCATTCATCAGAAGAGGAATTAGATATGAGGGAACCTATAAAAAGGTCAGAGATCCAGTGAGGCATTTCCCAAGTACTTTCTGTTGGGAGGAAGAGGTACCCTGCATCAAAATTTCCCCTCTAGCCATCTGTTTTCAAAAGCAGGCGTTTGGGAGTCATCCTGATGTCATTAATCTTTGAATTGTAAAAGTAAGTACGTGTTGAATGGTTTCATAATTGACAACAGTGGTTAAATGAAGCCAAAGGAACACATGGAAGGGGAGCTACCCGATAGGATACTATGGTTTTGGAAAACTCCAAGAACAGTAAGTTTCAGGGCAGCTCCTACCATCCTCTCTCTTCTCCACACCCTCCTCCCCCTCCTCCTCCTCCTCCTCCTCCACCAAAATGAGGTGAAGTGCTCAGAGCAGAGGAGGGAGGAGGTGATGAGAATTGAAGGGTGGGGGGACAAAGAGGGTAGATAAGAGGCGTGGACACATGGGTGTGTACAGGAAGCTTCTGGGGAAACTTCAGATAGTAATAACAGGTTTTAGAGCTATGCGTTTGTCTCACTCAACCATCCAGACTGAGAGCAGAGTTTTAGCCAAAAGGAGGCAGAAGTTTAGTTTTGGAATGGCCTTGTGCATTAGTCTTTTGTTACTGTAACAAAATACCAGAGGCTAGATAACTTTATAAAGGGAAGGGGTTTATTTAGCTCAAAATTCTGATTTTTTTTTTTTTTTTTTGCTGGTGGAATTCTAAGACAGCACATGATACTGAATGGCAAGACAGGGTGTGTGTGTGGGGGGGGCGGGAATATTCTGGTCTCCCTCCCTTTTCTTATAAAACCATCAGGATTCAATCATGGGGACTCCATCAGGATCTAGAGAAATCTCCAAGTTGTTCATGGCAACGAGTTGTCTTAGAGTGTACCTTCCTACTCTCATGCCCAAATCCCAATCAAGAACATATACTAATTTTCCCTGTTCTTGGATCAAGGAGGGAATCTCTTTGTTTTTCACTTGGGACAGACGGGAAGGAAGACACATTTCCATTTTGGGGACCAATTTTTTCCTAGTTTCATCACTGCTCACCAAGCAACGTTAAGATAATAAATTGACCCAATTAACTCCTTCCCGTGAGGAAAAGAATGTGCCCATCAGAGGAGGTGGGTATGTGATCTACTTGTGAATTATAGTTCTAAAGCACACGGATTGCTTTCCTCTGGTTTGCTTATGTGATTCCTATGAGTTGAGATAGTATACAGGTACACAGTGTAGATAAAATCAATGTTAGAATCCACGGAGCTAAGGGCCATGTTAATTCACTGTAGAGAACAATGCCTATGAATTTGGTTATATTCCTTTCTGAACACATTTTCAGGAAATTACTATTAAGAAAAATCAGCCAGAACTTAAAAAATAAAGCAAAAGGGTGTCTCCATGTCCTTCCAATAGCCTCGTTTGTCATGCTTACCTCGTTGTTAGTTTATTTTCTATATTGGAGTATGTGCTTATGTAAGTCTCTGCTCTTTATGAACTTTTTAGAGACCAGACATTGAAGATACATTGAAGAACTTATAGATGTCTGTCTGGGAAAAATATACCCACAGAAGTTAATGTCCTGCAAGATGCTAACCAGTTTGGTGTCTATTGAGCAGGTGAATTCATTTCAGCATTTCTTTGACATTGAATAAAATCTCCATTTCTTAAATTCTCCTTTGAGCCAGTTTGATCATTTTATTAATTTCTTTGTTCATCGATGGATTGATAAAACCTTAGATAGGTGTTCACTCTGCATTTGGATCAGTCCTGTGTTTAACTTTTTGAAAATTATGCTTTCCCATCGCAACACTCCTGTTTTACCTTGCATTTGCATATTGAATAAATAGTGCTCCCTCTGATTCTGGCACGTTTGATGTTTGTGACGTGTTGAAGCTGAGCATGTTGAATCTTTCAAGGCACTGGGAACTTCATAATAAATCTTAATTATATGCTGTAACACAACACTAAAAAACCTGTATTTAAGCTTCTGGTATACCCATGTTTTGAAACAACTGGAGGAGGTTTATCCATGTCTGAGATTACAGCCTGAATTATGGATGTTCCTGGCGACTGCTTAGTATGGAGACTCTCAAAGCAGCAGCAAAAGCTGAGGGAGTCTGAGACAGGGCAGCAGAAAGTTCTTGACCTGGTGGCTTGAACTTGGCTGGAAGAATGAGATGTGTTTCCTTTGTTCCTGTTTAGAATTTATAGACTAATTTCCCCCAAAACACAATAATGATTCATTTCCATGAATGACCCACAACCTACTTGAAATACTTTTGATGCAATAGTATTATTTTCAGTATCTGTTCACTGCAAATGTTATTTCAGATGCAATATGAAAAAAAATTAATTTTTTGGTGGGGTGGACCTGGAAACTAATCCCAAACTTATAACATTGATCTTATAGGAAGTGCCATCTTTTTAAAAGTATTTTTTAGTTGTGGATAGACCTTTATTTTGTTTACTTGTTTATATGTAGTGCTGAGAATCGAACCCAGTGCCTTACAGATGCTAGGCAAGCACTCTACTGCTGAGCTATAATTCCAGCCCCATAGGAAGTGATATTTTGTTTTAAACAACTAAATGGAAATGCTTCTGGGTGGAGGGGATATTCAGTTCTTTTAGAGATTGGGAATGGCCTAAGGTGAAGTTTCTTGCAACGACAAAACTAGGTAAATTTCAAACTGCTTCCTTCTAAAGGAAATGGAAGGTTTGTATAAGTGCATGGTATGGGCAAGCACGTGGGGTGTGTGTGTGTGTGTGTGTGTGTGTGTGTGTGTGTTTTGTTGATGCTATCACACCTTTTAGTCGTCTGTCACGTAAAGTAGGACACACATTCCAGGTTCTCACCGTCTCTGTGCACACCTGCCTTTTTTACCTGGTGCTGCAGGTAATACCTACGACTGTTATGAACAAAATAAATTCAAACCCAAAGTTAACTTTCACCTTTCATCCACCAAAAATATCATGTTCATCCCAGCTCCTGCCAGAACAGGGTTTTTTTTTCTGTATTTTTGAGGGAGGACATTGGTTTAATGGACATGGAAGTGTTCACTTCCTTGTAACAAGGCCCTGTTCATGTTCTGAGTGATGGGTCATAGGACTGCTGCTATCTTCAAGGAGATTCTGTAGGGGATACGAATCATGTTAATTTAATAATGTTCTCTGAATATTCGACATGTTCATATTGGAAAATTTCTAAGATGGTTCTTTGAGCACAGTGGTGGTGGTAATGTCTTCTTCTGGCTTTTATTAAGGGTTGTTGACATTTTTTTGGGTTTCTGTTCCAGGTAACTAGGGTTATAAAAGGCCAAATTAGAAATCCATGACCAATGGATACTGTTTAGCCATAACCAGGGAGGTATGTTTTCTGGTAGGAATAGAACTAAATTGGAGAAGTGACAAAAATCATATTGCAGAGAGAAAACAAATTATTAGAAATTGGACCACAAGAAGTAGAACAGTTCAAGAGCTTTAGCTCCATTGCTCTTAAAAATAGCTTTTATTTGTTCCTTTTAACTCCTTTGTAACTAAAGTGGCACCAAATAATCTTTAAGAGTATATAGTTTCCTATCTGTAAGACTGTACCTCACCTAAAGGAAGTTAGCTATTCCTGTAAGGTTGAACAACAGGTTATTTCTACTAGATTTGATTTTGCAATGTGCCAATGAACTTTGGTGCATAAATTTTTCTCCCATGATGTCTTTAAGATGGATTCCTTCAAGGCAAATTGGTAGGTCAAAGGCTATGAGTATTTATGACTCCTCTTACAAATGACTTCCCAGAAAGATTGTATCAATTTGTAAGTTACCCAGCTCTTAGTGCGTATCTTTTTTTTTTTAATTAGTTGCTCATGACAATACAATGATCTTGACTTATCATACATTTGAATCAAATGGGGTATAATTTCTCATTTTTCCAAGTATACAGATTACAGAATCACATTGGTTATACAGCCACGTATATACATACAGCAATACTAGTGTCTATTTTATTCTGCTGCCCTTTATTTCCCCTCCCCTCTCTTAGTGTGTATCTTACTCATTCTCTCTAGGACGCTGATTGAGGATTGCATTAAACACACACACACACACACACACACACACACACACATACACACACACACTCACACACAAACTTTAAAAATAAAATTCACATACAAGATAAGAGAGTCATGTTACCTGAAGTTAAAAAATGAAGACTAATAATTTTCCCCTTACATTTTTGAAACCAGCTTTGCTTTCTGGGAGCAGCCACTAAAGCCCCCTCTTCAGCATTGCCTGGAGTGTCCTGCTGATATTCCAGTACGGAAGATGAGATCCAAGGACATTTAGTTGGGATGGGGGCAGTGGAGGGTTGGACTTTGGAGTCATACATTGATGCACTTGGAAAAGGCTGAAGGTAATGACTTTATGCATTTGAAGAAGGCTGCAGTGTCTATCCAGTAAAGCATTAGGCAGATAAAAGAGGTATGACATTTACCTGGGTGAATGAAACATCAATGTAGAGAAGGGATGGCTGTATTTGTCCAGTCAAGTAAGACATTAAAGATCCCTTAATTGAGGTTATTTTTTGTTTTTATATCCGTGCTGGGATCAAACCCAAGGCCTTGCACATACTAGACAAGGCTCTAGCCCAAGAGATTTTAACTCTTAAAATATGGGACAAAATTCATGCATATTGACTTGTGGAGGATGATTTCCTCGTCACATCTCTTAAGTATCTTGCTTATTTGCTGGGCACAATGGTGTGTGACTGTAATCCTAGTGGCTCAGAAGGCCGAGGCAGGAGGATTGAGAGTTCAAAACCATCCTCAGCAATTTAGTGATGCCCTAAGCAACTTAGTGAGACCCTGTCTCCAAATAAAAAATAAAAAGGACTGGGGATGTGGGTCAGTGGTTAAGTGCCCCTGGGTTCAATCACTGATACCAAAAACAAAAACAGAAGATCCGCAAATGAAAAAAACAACAACAAAAACTTGCTTATTTGATTATCCCTCCCTCCTTCTTTTCCTCCCTGTCTTCCTCTTTCTGCCTTTTAATTTCCCAGTGATTTGAGAGTAAGGTACACATGTTATTATATGTGATCTTTAAATCTGAGAGTATACCAAGAACAAGAACAGCCTCTCTATTACCACATTCATCGTTTCCCTTTTCTCTTTCTCTATCTCCATCTTTTTATCTATCTATGCTAGCTATTTTTGTTCTTAATTGCTTTGTTTAGAAAATTCTGACATACATTATACATATAGAAGAATACATAAAACTATGTACAGGGCTGGGGCTGTAGCTCAGTGGTAGAGTGTTTGCCTCGCAGGTGTGAGGCACTGGGTTCAATCCTCAGCACCATGTAAAAATAAATAAATTAAATAAAGATATTGTGTCCATCTACAACTAAAAAAATTTTTTAAACACCCCAACTATGTATAGTATGAAAGTTCACATAAATAAATGTATATTTTATGATTTTATTTGTATGTATATATGAAGTAAATATATTTATTTTAAATGAAAACAAAACAAGTAAAAAAAATGAAACCAGAAACCATTTAGGGGAAGTAGCAGTTATCTTAACCATGTTAGAAATCAAAGAAAATCTTTATACCCATTGAGCCTCACTCATGCAAGATGAATAAGTTCTAGAGATCTGTATGACATAGCGCCTAGTATTTGTTTTAAGGTTGCATGTTAAGTATTCTTTTCACAAAAATAACTAAAAAAAAAAAAGAGAAGAAGAAGAAATGCAGTAACCCTAGATGTACCACGCTGCTTCCAGTCTTACACAGTATAATGTTTTGCAGTAAAATTTTATAAGTAGAAGCACACTCTAAAACAACATAATAATGAAAAGTACAGTATAGTAAATACACAAACTGGTAACATAGTCACTTATTATCTATATCAAGTATTATATACTATTTATAATCATATTGTATAGTTTTGTATGACTGGCAGCACAGTAGGCTCACATATACTGCATCACACAGCCACATGAGTAAGGCACTCCACTATGACTTCAGGATTTTACATTGTGCTATGACTTTATTTTTTTTTTAAGAGAGAGAGAGAGAGAGAGAGAGAGAGAGAGAGAATTTTTTAATATTTATTTTTAGTTTTAGGCAGACACAACATCTTTGTTTGTATGTGGTGCTGAGGATCGAATCCCGGCTGCACACATGCCAGGCGAGCGCGCTACCGCTTGAGCCACATCCCCTGTGCTATGACTTTATGACCATGGCAATGACACTAGTTAATTGAATTATTTCAATCCTATTATAATCTTATTTATCACATATGAAACTCATCATTGACCAAAACTTTGTTATATGGCAGGTGACTGCAATTCCTGAAGTTTGAAGTTTGGGAAGTCCAAGATCCAAGTGCTGGGAGATTCAGTTTCTAGGGAGGGGTCTTTTTCTGGTTTGAAGACAGCCACCTTCTTCCTGTAGTTTCATATGCTAGAGAGACTGATCATCTCTCTTGCATCTTTTTTTTTTTTTTTTTTTCCCCAGAAGAGTAATAATCCAGTTCAGGTCAGAACTGCCTTTATGGTGTAATCATTCCCCAAAGCTCCAATTCAAAATACTATCACATTACTTACTGGGACTTTAATGTATGAATCTGAGAGGGATACAAACATTCAGTCCATAGTAAACTCCAAAAGTTTA